TCTCCCTTGAACTGGTTAGATATTTTAAGGATCACTGGAATACGGAAGGTGACAAAATTAAATAAATATATAAATCATGAGGCAGCATGGTGGCGCAACTGTTAGAGCTGCTGCCTCTCAGCGAGCAGGTCCCTGGTTCAAATCCCGGTCCGGAGGCCTTTCTGGGTGGAGTTTGCATGTTCTCTCCGTGCATACGTGGGTTTCCTCCCACAGACCAAAAAACATGCATGTTAGGCTGATTGGTAACTCTAAAAAAATTGTCCCTAGGTGTGAGTGAGAGAGTGAATGGTTGTTTGTCTCGTTTGTCTCTATGTGTCCCTGTGATGGACTTGCGACCCGTCCAGGGTGTACCCCGTCCCTCGCACAGTGACTGCTGGACATGGGCACCGGCGACCCCCGTGACCCAAAATGGAATAAACGGGTAAAGAAAATGGATGGATGGATGGATATAAATCATGACATAAATAATTTAAAAGGTACATTTCATTATTTAATGGTGTATTTAATAATTTAATTGTAGATTTGCTGATGCATTTAAGAATTAAAAGATACATTTAATTGTTATTTTTGTATTGTGTATTTATTTATTTCATTTTGTCACATTCTGTCCTCCACAATCTGCGAGTTCAAACTGAGCAAACGTGAAAACAAACACATGGGAGTTTTTTCCCCCCCATTTATTTATGATCATGCTTTTAGATTTAACAAGATCTACATTTTTTTCCAAGAATTTTAACTTTATTTTCATTTTGCTTTTGCTTCTGTTACATCTCCGTTTTTCCGTCTTACCGTTTGCACTGATCTAAACACACGTTTTCTGCTGGTTTTTTTCCATCGTTTTCTGTGGAAACTCTTTTTTTAATCACTGATTCCATCTGAACAACACATCCACTTTCAACTGAATGACACTCAGATTTACCCGATTCCACCTGAACACACAAAAGGTGGAGAAGAAACTCTACAGCAGCTGAAGCTTCTCCCAGATCACTTCTACAAGAGATACATTCAGTCTGGATGGACTCATTCTTCTCAACTTCATGCTGGGTCCCAAAATTTCCTGCAACACCTTAGTTTTTTCAAAAAGTTCATGCTGTGATGAGGATATACGTCTACCAGATGGCGCTACAGCTCCAAGTAGCCAGATGTTTAAGTTCCAATATGAAGCCCAGTGTCTGCTCTGGTCCTCTCTGAGGAACCAGACCAAACATCAGAACATCTCAGGATGTGGAGGATTAAACAAGTAAAAAGTCTGAACACTAATAAAACACACTGATATCGTCACAAGCAACCTTTTATTAATCACACACAACTTTTTTTAAAAAGTTATTAACAATAACTTGTTACTTCATTCTTCACCCTCTTCAGAGATCCTTATTAACTGGTTTAAGTTGTAACAGAAAAGAGTAGATTTTCTACAATAAAACTGAAGACAGAGCTACAGTTTTTTTTCCCCTAAATAATAAATGATTAATCCTGAACAAATCAAGAAAAAGAGTCATTTGCAGCAAGTTCTGTTCGTCATCATATTACAATAAAGATAAGAACTAAAAGAGCAAAATGTCCTTAAAAAGCCTGGAAAAAACCAGATAACACCTAAAAAAAACAAATTGAAACCTTGAAGATGAGCAGAGCCTCATATGAACACCATATTTGTAGTCCTTAGGGATTCTGGTGGAAGTCTGAGGGGACATTTGGAGGACCGCAGCTTCAGACCGAGGTGCGTCTGAAGCCCAAAACGTGAAAATGTCAGAAACTGAAGTGAGGTGTTCACTGTCAGACAAGTTTCTAGCTTATCCTTTTCTCAAACAAACCCAGAAACAGAAAATGAGCCGAAGAAGCTCCAGGTGAGAGTCTGAGGATGTCTTAAGTCTCGTCGTCATCGCTGTTGTGGGTCTTGTCTTCACTCAGGCCGCTCTCGTCGATGTTTTCCAGAGAGTCGGCGTGCTGCAGCGTCAGCTCCGACGGGCTGATGGACGGCAGCATGTTCTGCTCTGGAAACATCCACGGCTTCAGGGTCGGGTTGTGTTTCCGTTTCCACTCCGGGTACTTCAGACCTGCCTTGTAGATCTTCCTCATGGCCTAGGAGGACAGAGACGGTGAGACATCGTTTGATGAGGAACAGAAACCAAATCTGTTCAAGAAAACGATCAGATATTTACCTTCGGAGCCACAAACTGGGAGACTCTGTTCACAACCCACTTTGGTAACGAGCCTGCGGACACAAGAGGACAGCACAAGTCAAACTGAGCTTCTTGTCTTTGTCTATGAGAACAGCTGGAAGACAAAACTCGATTGGAAATATCGATGCGTTTGTGTGAGATGAGGACATCTGGACAACATGTCAAAGCCCAGGACTAGTTTAGATTGTGAGGAGGAATCCAAAGACACCACGGAGAAGAAGTTTTGTTTGGCCTCAAGGAGGTTCTGGCAAACTGTTCAATGACTCTGAAAGGGAAAGCAGAGTTCTTCTCGGGCTGGTTTAGGTGGGAAACTTCTGATCTGGACTAAGGATATTGGTGGAAGCAGCACCAAGATTCACTTTGTTTCAAACCTCACTAAAGATCAAGTTTGGGTCATGACCAAAAAGAGTCAAATCCTGGATCTAATTGGCTGCAATAATCTCCCCCTGTAGAGTGGCCGGGCTCAGCCTTAGAGATGAGATTAGGAGTCGTCTCAGGTGGTTTGAGCATCAGGGTGTCTTCTGGACAGGTTCATCTTAAGGTTTACCAAGCACATCCCACAGGGTGGAGACCCCAGAGTGTGTTTGTGGTTCTTTGTGCTTTGAGAGCCCATCTCACCTCGGGGGTCCACCTGGGTCAGGTAGTAGAGGGTGGAGCCTGTGGTGTTTGACTGGATCAGGTAACCTGTCAGCAGAGACACGGCTCGGACGTAGTCTTTCTTGGGAGGATGTTGCTATGGAGACAAATAAAACAGGAAGTGTTGGGAGTGTCAGCTGGTGTTTGAAAAATAATAAATAAATAAATAAAAAACTCTGAGAAACAGTCAGCCGTTTACCTACAAACAATGCTGATTATTACAGTTAATACAAACAATAAAAACGTTATTTTGACCCCTTGGTCGCAGATTTACAGTAAGAGCTCAGTGGAGCCCGAGTTCTGTTGGTAAAACACTAACCGGGTGTTTGACGGAGTAGTTGATGATCATGTAGTCGCTGCCGAGGGGAAGCCAAGATCTCATCGTCACAAAGTCTCTGTTCTTCAGAGGACTCGGACATTTCCCTTCAAACAACATAAAGGAACAGAAGTGAAGCTTTTCTGCATCGTGTGATCAGAAAACAGCTCCCGACAATGATGTGGAACACGTTTTACACTTGTGAGTCATATTTTATGTAGATGGACCCCAGATAGCTTAGAAATGACCTTTGACCCTTCCCAGATTAATGGTTAGCAACAGTGTCTTCTCTGAAGTCATTGCTGATGTCTTTCTGCCTTGGTGTTGTGTTAACGCAGCAGAAACTGCAGCTTGTATAAAAGGTGGTCCCTCTTATGATGATCAGCTTATTCAGCAGCTTCTGATTGATCCTGAACCTCTGGAAGCAGCGAGGCTGGAACCAGTTCAACATTTTGTTTAACAAACGGTGACATTAGTTGGGTGTTTTGTTCACTGGTGGTCAGAGTGGAACCATTTTAAAAACTTGTTAAAGACCAGATCAGTTCCTGTATGTCTGGATATGCAAAACTCCAGAACTGAAAGAGGGTGGACTTTTGTTTTTCTATGAATGTATGGACCCCTGAGATCCTCTCAGGGGTGTCGAACTCTCTTACAAAAGGGGGCCAAACTTAAAACCCTTTTCAGACTAAGGGCCAATTTCAGAATCTACATAAACTCAATCTAAATACCAAACAATTTATCTTGGTTGCAGGTTCCGCAACATGAGTTTCATTTGTCTCATTTGACGTTCTCTGTTGCACTTTTGACGTCATAATCAAAGATTACTGAAAAAAATTCAAGTGAAAAAAAAAAAATTTACGTTTAACATATCATCTTGGGGGCCAGATGTCAATGAGGGCCACATTTGAGGGCCTGGAGTTTGATACATGTATCCTATATAGGCCTGTCACAATAACAAATTTTGCTGGGCAATTAATTGTCTCAGAAATAATTGCGATAAACGATAATATTGTTTGAAATTTCACAATAATTAGTAATTGTCAAATTCAAGAAGAAATGTTGGTTAATTTTTGTGTAGTACCTTTATTCGACCACCGGATGGCAGTATAAGACTGTTTGAACCGAAGGATGGATAGTGAGAGAGCAGCAGCGCGTCTCTAAGAAAAATGAGAGGGAGGCCCCTTAACAAGACATGGGTTGTCTCTCTTTCCTGTTTTTCAGTTCTCAAAATGGTGGATGCTCGGTGTGGTTTGAGCTCTTTAGAATAGCATTTTTCACCCAAAGCTATCTATCTATCTATCTATCTATCTATCTATCTATCTATCTATCTATCTATCTATCTATCTATCTATCTATCTATCTATCTATCTATCTATCAGATAGATAGATAGATAGATATTTATTTTTTTCAATCAGTAAACAAGTTCTCAGCTTCTTTTTGTAGAGAAAAACAACTTTTTACACAAAGGCACAGGTTTCAACCATGAATTTTGGAGCTTGGACAAGACGTAGTTGAAAATGTGGTCAATAATTTTCATTTATCATGCGATTAATTGATTTATTGTTTATCACAGCAGGCCTAGTTCTATATTATCTTGCTAACCATTTCAAGGTCACAGTTTGTGTTCAAATCAGACTTTTCCTATAAAAACCCTTCAGCTCACTGGACTCAGACATGATGAACAACTTCCTTTAAATCTCTTCTTTAAAGAAAACTTTAAATCGGTGATACTGACAGGAGTAATATCCCACGTCTGCGTTGACCGTCAGCCTGCCGATGTCATATGTTTCAAGCATGTTTGTGTCCCACTTCTTGCGATAGCTGGTGTCATGGAGGACATCGTAGAGTGTCTCTGCTGTCACGTCTTTACAAACGATCTTCATCTGGAACAAACAGACATTTAAAGTTAGTGTGATGATGTCATGGATCAAAACAGATAGAACTCGTCTCTCTGAAGCCAAGTGCTGTGTTTAAGTCATCAGTTCTCAAACAGCAAGTGATGTCATCGCCTGAGACCGTGAAGAGTTCAAACATTACTGCAAGATTATTATAAATCAAGTTTTCCACAAATGGAAGCAGGAAACGGGATGAGAAGGAGAAGGATTTCAGTCTTGGCTGCCTTAGAATGAATACATTTAAAAAAGGACCGCTGATCTCATAAGGATCCAACCAAGTTAAATCGGGTCCTCTGGACGGATTCTTCTTTGTTGAAACATTTTGTCTTTTATCCAAAAGACCTTCAGTCTGAGGCGCCGCAACAAACTTAGTCTTATAAGCAGCACCTTCTCATGGTGGATGAGCCTGCTGTTCTAACAATACTAAACAGTAGTATTGCTACAAGCGTGGTCCCAGAGGCGTTCAAACATGCAGTAGTCACACCGTTAATTAAGAAACCTGGTCTTGACCCTTCAGCCTGCTCAAATTACAGACCAATCTCAAAACTCCCCTTTCTGTCCAAAATCCTGGAAAAAGTAGTTTTTACTCAGTTAAATCAGTTTTTAACTGAGAACAAAATCTTTGAGGTCTTTCAGTCTGGTTTCAAGCAGCTCCACAGCACCGAAACAGCTTTGGTTAGGGTTTGTAATGACATTTTAACAGCAAATGATTCTGGTCATTTTGTGGCTCTTGTACTCCTCGATCTTACTGCCGCTTTCGATACTGTTGACCACAGTATCCTCATCTCTCGGCTTGAACACTGGGTTGGGATTACATGTGCTGCATTAGACTGGTTCCGCTCATACCTCTCAGACAGGAGTTTTTGTGTGAAGGTGGGTAAAAATCTATCCACTTCAATGCCTCTTTCCTGCGGTGTCCCGCAGGGCTCGATTCTCAGACCCCTTCTATTTTCACTCTATCTGCTTCCGCTGGGGTCGATCCTAAGAAAACATGGTATTCCATTCCATTTCTACGCCGATGACTGTCAGATCTACCTGCCACTGAAACCAGCCAGTGCTTGTTCCGTCCACCCTCTCCTCAAATGTCTGGACGACATTAAGACATGGATGGCTTCAAATTTTCTAAGTTTTAACAACCATAAGACTGAAGTCATTGTCTTTGGCCCTAGCTCAGCTGCCGCCTCTTATCCTGTGAACCTGGACTCCCTTCAGCCTTATCTGAAGCACTCTGTTAAAAACCTTGGAGTGATTTTTGACTCGGATTTTAAGTTCGACAAACAGATCAGTTCGGTTCTGCAGAGAAGCTTCTTCCAACTGCGGCAGGTAGCTAAGCTCAAGCCAGTGCTGTCTAGACCCGACCTTGAGACACTAGTCCATGCATTCATCACAACCCGCCTGGACTATTGTAATTCACTGAATGCTGGGGTCAGCCAGGCCTCTATCTCACGGCTACAGCTCGTCCAGAATGCTGCAGCTCGGCTCTTAACCGGTACACCGAGGTATGAGCACATCACACCAGTTCTGTCCTCCCTACACTGGCTTCCTGTGAGAACTAGGATTGATTTCAAAATTCTCCTCCTGACCTATAAGTGCCTAAATGGCCTCGCACCCATCTACCTCTCTGAGCTACTGGAACCATATGTTCCCTCTCGGGCTCTGAGATCATCCGATCAGCTGCTTTTGGTTGTTCCAAAAACACGACTGAAGCTCCGAGGAGATCGGGCGTTTTCGGTCATGGGTCCCAAACTGTGGAACAACCTACCTCCCAACATTAGGCATGCCACCTCCCTTCCTGTGTTCAAATCCCTGCTAAAAACATATCTGTTCTCTCTGGCGTTTCATACTGTGTGAGATGATTTAGTATATCTTGTTCCATGTCTTCATTTTAATGATGTTGTTTTAATTTTTTAAGGTATATTCTTACTGCTTTTTATTTCTTAGTGTTACCCTTAGTGTTAAGCACTTTGATAACAGTCTGTTTTAAATTGTGCTCTATAAATAAATATGACTTGACTTGGATGTTTGCTGCTTACAGCCAAAACTAGTTGTTCACATGTAAAAGGAGGACCATCAGCCTAACAATTGATCGTTAGTGCCCTGATGGCCGCTTGCTATTCACAGGAGGCTGAGTGATACTAGCAATAACAGCATTGTAAGAGGGGGACAGTTGAACACGGAGGCCTCCGCCCGTTTAACGATGGACAGTTTCTCTTCACAAAGATGGCCTCCTTTACTCCTCTCTCAAACCATTGTTCCTCTCTATCAAGGATGTGAACATCTTCATCCCTGAAAGAGTGACCACTGGCCTGGAGATGAGTGTAGACCGCAGAGTCCTGGCCTGATGATGTTGATCTTCTGTGCTGGGCCATCCTTTTGGCTAGTGGCTGTTTAGTTTCCCCGATGTAAGACTGATCACCCTCCTGACACTGAACAGCATACACAACATTACTCTGTTTGTGCCGTGGGACTGGATCTTCGGGATGAACCAGTCTTTGCCGTAATGTATTTTGGGGTTTAAAAGCCACTGGGACGTTGTGTTAAGCAAAATAAACGTCTCAGTTTTTCTGAAACTCCTGTAACATACGGAATGACCACTGGTCTGGGTTCCTCCTTTTCACCTGACGGGTGGCTGGAGTCCTGTTTGGGTTTTTCTCTGCTTTCAAGAAGGCCCAGTTATGATATCCACATAGATTCAGGGCCCGTCTTGTGTGGGATTTCTCCTTCCTGGCTTTTAGCCGACACCAGCAAACTTGTTGATCCACTGTAAGAAGGTGCAATTTATAAGACTGACTTAGTTTTAACTCCTCGGACCGAATAAGTATTTTGGATAAAAGAGTAAAGGTTTTAGAAAAGAAGAATCCGTCCAGAGGACTCGACTCAACCTTGCTAGATTTATCTATAGTACACATCAAAACATCTGGAATCAGGACTCCAGTCAATCAACCAACAGATCAATAAATGCTTCAGTTACCACTCAAACAAATCATGAATAAAAATATGCAAGCAAAAAAAAAAAAAAAAATTAAGGTTTTAGCTAAATTTTCAGATGATTTAATCTCCCACTACGACCAAGTTCTTGCGACTCAAACACTCGAAACGACAAAAAGCAAGTTTAGGAAAGAATGAGTAGTTTGGAGCAACTTAAAAAAAAACACACGAAAAAAAAACGGTGCAATTTGGATTAACAGTGACTGAGAAACTAAGTGGCTCAAATATCTTGGCGCAAATCTGAGTAATTTACGACACAAATCAGGTTGGATTATCGCTGAGCCACTCAAAATAACTCGGACAACTCCGAAACTACAAGCAAACAAGTGATACGCCAATGTCCTCCATTGCTGAGGGATTAGAAGAGTGAATGTTTGTAGTTTTTGAGATGAGTGTTTTTTCCTGGACTGGAACTGAACAGGCAACACAAGCAAACCTTAATGTTTTTGGTGCAAGATATTTGTGTGGTGAGGAGTTACACTGTGGAAAAAAAAAACAGGTAGTTTTTTGTTTCCCATCTCTGAGGCGACACAGAGTGACGAATCCTGGTGAGTGGAGGAGTAATTCCATTCATAAAGTGAAACTTGTATATTATATTCATTCATTACACACAGACTGATATATTTCAAATGTTTATTTATTTTAATGTTGATGATCATAACTGACAACTAATGAAAACCCCAAACTCAGCATCTCAGAAAATTAGAATATTACTCAAGACCAATAAAAAAAAAATTAAAAAAGATTTTTAGAAATGTTGGCCAACTGAAAAGTATGAACATGAAAAGTATGAACATGTACAGAACTCAATACTTAGTTGTTCCTCCTTTTGTCTGGATTACTGCAGCAATGCGGCGTGTCATGGAGTCGATCAGTCTGTGGCACAGCTCAGGTGCTATGAGAGCCCAGGTTGCTCTGATAGTGGCCTTCAGCTCCTCTGAATTGCTGGGTCTGGTATATCGCATCTTCCTCTTCACAATACCACATAGGTTTCTATGGGGTTAAGATCTGGCGAGTTTGCTGGTCAACTAAGAACAGGGATACCATGGTTCTTAAACCAGGTACTGGTAGCTTTGGCACTGTGTGCAGGTGCCAAGTCCTGTTGGAAAACTGAAATCTGCATCTTCATAAAGTTGGTCAGCAACAGGAAGCATAAAATGCTCTACAACCTCCTGGTAGACAGCTGTGTTGACCTTGGACCTCAGAAAACACAGTGGACAAACACCAGCAGAAGACATCCCAAACCATCATCGACTGTGGAAACTTAACACTGGACATCAAGCAACATGGATTCTGTGCCTCTCCTCTCTTCCTCCAGACTCTGGGACCTTGATTTCCAAAGGAAATGCAAAATGTACTTTCATCAGAGAACATAACTTTGGACCACTCAGCAGCAGTCCAATCCTTTTTGTCTTTAGCCCAGGTGAGACACTTCTGACACCGTCTCTTGTTCAAGAGTGGCTTGACACAAGGAATGCGACAGCTGAAACCTATGACTTGCATACGTTTCTGCGTGGTGGTTTTTGAAGCACTGATTCCAACTGCGATCCACTCTTTGTGAATCTCCCCCACATTTTGGAATGGGTCTTGTTTCACCATCCTCTCCAGGGTATAGTTATCCCTATTGTTTTTACAATTTTCGACCACATCATTTCCTTCCTTTCACCTCTCTATTAACGTGCTTGGACACAGAGCTCTGTGAACAGCCAGCATCTTTAGCAATGACCTTTTGTGTTTTGTCCTCCTTGTGCAAGGTGTCAATGGTCGTATTTCGGACAACTCAAGTCAGCAGTCTTGCCCATGATTGTGTAGCCTACAGAACTAGACTGAGAGAACATTTAAAGGCCTTTGCCAGTGTTTTGAGTTAATTAGCTGATTAGAGTTGTGGCACCAGGTGTCTTCAATATTGAATCTTTCCACAATATTTTACTTTTCAGAGATACTGAATTTGAGGTTTTCATTAGTTGTCAGTTATCAACATTAAAATAAATAAACATTTGAAATATCAGTCTGTGTGTAATAAATGAATATAATATACAAGTTTCACTTTTTGCACTGAAATAAAAAAAAACTTTTTCATGATATTCTAATTTTATGACCAGCACATATATATATTCTGCGATGGAGGTTAATAAAAGTGACTTGCATTGACTCAGCAACTTCAGTGACTTTAAGCAGCTTTAAACAGACTTAAATTGTAGTCTTTAAGTGACTCGGAGTACCGGACTCTAATAGACTCAGGGCATTTTGTAAAGGCTTGAGTGAAATCACCATGGCCCATGTCTGTAGTGGTTCTGCCTGTCAGTTTACTAAAAACATGGAGGGTTGTTGAACCTGTGAAGCAGCTTCTCTTCCTGTTCTAGGAGATTCCACCCAAAAGGTAAACTTTATCGGAATCAGACTCAGCTGTTTTTTTAATCTCCATCTGACCCTCGTTTAGTTTTGAATAAATGTCCTCTGAGCAACAAAGCAACCAGAGAAGAGCTCAGTCAAAAAAGTGGGTTCGCTTGAAACTGGAGGACTGACACGGAGCTGCTTCCATCCTCATCCTGGTGACGGTTAACCGGACGCCATGTGAGACGGCAGCTCACTGTAGAACGTCACCTTTTTCCACTGCCGTGATCTTCCAGGAGCGTCAGGCTCAGCTGAGCAGCTGTCATCAGATATTGTGAGAGTCAGCGCTGGAAAACGCTCCGTGTAACTCAATCAGCACGACTCCGCTGCCCGTTAATCATTCATGATGTGCATCCATCCATCACTCAGCAGCCCGTCTCATCCCCGTGTGAAGAGTTTCATCTCCAGCGGACCACAAAAGCATCCAACAGTGTCAGTCCTCATTCAGAAGCAGGGTAAGGATAATGGATGGTTCCAAAAATACTTTCTGCTGATATAAAAACATAACCAGAACAGCAGAACTTTCACCCTTGTATAATAAAAAGGAAGGTCTGGAGCTTGCTGGTCCATAATTTAGCATTTATAGGTAAAAGAACAGATTGCTTCCATTCAATCTTTATCCGTTTTAATGTGAAATCCATCCTGCTGCAGCCACTTCCTGATGAGATTCAAGGTGGAATCAGGTCTGACTGCTCTTCTGCAGGATCTTTATTTCCTCAGTCCCTTCTCATAAAGTCTCAGTTATCAGAGCTCACCAGAGGCAGCAAAAGTTTCCACGATGTTGCCACACCGCGAGGCCTTCGCAGTTAAACAGGTTTAGCTCATAACGACGCTGCTCTTTACCTAATTACACCATGTCTCTGTTACAGCCGCGAGAGTTGGAGCTCTGTAAAATATCTGAATCAAGCAGTTTAAACAGTCAAGTTTTAGTGGCACATTTTTAACATACAGTACTGTACATGCATGTTCCCAGCATGCACTGCAGCTCGTCCTCTGGCTCTGGATAACAGTAAATATTGACTGTAGGAGCAGTGATCCTCAGTCAGTGTTTGCTCTGGTGGTTTGTTCAACTGCAGCATTTCATAGTGCGTTTACAGAGGCTTCACAATCCAGAGAAGCTCCATCCTGTCGGGCTTAACTCAGGGACCAGCATACATCCTGTCAGTCCAAACTCAGGGATTAAATTACATTAAGTCATTTGGTCCAAGAGTACTAGTAAGTTGTGGTTTGGATCCTCTGTAGTTTGTAAAAGTTAGCATTTCAGATTTTCGTTCAAACCAACAGTGCACTTTTGTTTCGTCTTATTACTCCAGCCTGTCTTCCATTCGCAATCACGGTTCCTACATTTCCCAAAATGCCCTGGGAGAAGTGTTAGGTGCACAGCAGGATGTGTGTGTTGTGGACACGGATCCTCTTCATGCTTCCCTGGAGACAATAAAAGTTTAATGTTTGAGTTTAAGCAGGCATCAGCTGCAGATGGAACCAAGGACATGGGACTGCCTGACAGAACCAGGGCCTGGTCCAGAACCAGGGCCTGGTCCAGGTGGTAGCTGTGTTGTTAACAACAAAGTCCATGCTCAATAATCCAGGTATACAATCCAACATTTTTCAGTCAGGTCATCAGTTTTGTGTTGTGTGTTTCCTTGACTGATGAAGCCTTCCGGATCGAAGGTGAAACGTTTCAGCACAAAAAAAAAAAACTGTCCAGATGACCTGACTGAAAAATGTTGTGTTGTTAACGTTTTACATCACTTCTGTGGAGCCAAGTCAGTGGTTCCTTCACCACAAAAAGAAGAACTGCTGTAGTTCTTTGAACCATGAACCGGTTCCTGCGGTCCAACTTCCCCTTCGTGTAAATTACAGAGTTTGGGCAGATCCACAGCAGAAATTCTTGAAAGTTCTTTAGATCTTCGGCTGCTGCAGAACAGATGATGGACCTGGGATGCAGCAGGTCTCGAGTTGTTCTGGATCAGGTATCAGGTCCTGTTTCAGACAAGACTGAACACTGTTCTGGTCAGTGACCCGGGTTAAAGTCTGCAGCAAACAGCTGACACAAAACAACAAACAAACAACCAGAATGCGCGTAAGTGATGACGTCATTTGATCACGTGACCAGCTTCTAAAACTGACCAAACCAACAAAACACGATCAGCAAAACCAAACCAGAGGAATTCGGCCAACAGAACCAGACCAGCAGAACAACTCTGATCCAATATCTCCAGAACCAGCACTTTAGATCAGAGTCAAAACTAAAACCCAAACTCCAGATCTAGTCAGAACCCGGACTCAGGAGGGATTTTGATGACGATATTTGTTGTTTTTTTTAATTAAATCTTTGAGCGTTTAAAAACAATGCAGTTCTAACTTTGGGCTGAAAATGGACCGAAGTGAGCCAGACGGAACAGGATCAGAACTTCCGTCCATGAACTCTGAAAGAGTCACATCACAGGTGACCGGTTCTGCTCACCTTAACTTTTTGGACCGAGCTGCCGTCCTCCTCCCGGCACCAGACCGTGACTCCTCCCTTGTTGTACCGGATGGTCCATCCGTCCGGACTCAGACACTCGTCCTTAAAAGACGAGAAGTCTGAGTCGTCTGGAATCCGAACCGGCATCTCCAATCAACCAGAACCGTTTTACACGACTAGACCCGGGCGTCCCGCGCGCTGCCCTCACAGCGGACACGCGGCTGAACCTGCAGAACACAGCAGAACCGGTCCGAAGAAGGATAAGGTCCGAGGAGGCTGGTCTGACAAGAACTGGACCGAGACTGAAAACGATGGTATCGAAGAACCGGACCTGGTCTGAGGAGCATCTTCTTCTTCTTCTCGATGAGTTTAATGGCGGTTGGCAAAAAACTGTAGGTGTGCATTACCGCCACCACTGGTATGGAGTGTGGTTCATCATGGGCTAATTCTATGTGTATGTGTGAGTAAACTATATATATCTCAAATTCTATTAATCAACTTTGTTTTCTTAAAATATCTAATTATAATTTGTATATGTTTGCTCTCCAAGTTGTGTTGTAGTGCATCTATTATATTAAGTTTTTCTTTTATCTTTTCAAACTGTCTCTTCATAAACCTTCGTTCTGCTGCATATTTCTGACATTCCAATATCACATGTTGAATAGTTTCATCTTGTCCACAGTGCTCACATTTTCCTGTATTGTGTTTCTTTATTTGAAATAATGAATAATTCAGTCCCGTATGTCCAAATCTCAATCTTGTTATTAATCTTTCTTCCTTTCTGCTCCTTCTTCCAGTTCTCGTTTCTCCCACTGTCTTTTTGATCCTATAAAACCATCTTCCTTTTTTTCCTTCATCCCATCTTTTCTGCCATTCTTTCTTCAGTTTTTGTTTGATGATACTTTTTACCTCTGATTTGCTTATATTTACTGTAAAGTCAATGTGATTCTGAGTTGCCTTCTTTGCCATCTTATCTGCCATCTCGTTTCCTTCAATCCCAATGTGCGCTGGTACCCATAAAAATGTCACTGTTAAACCCATCCTTTGTGTTCTGAATAATGTGTGGTATATTTCTAATAAAATATCTGGCCTACTGTCTGTATGATTGTGCTTTAAACTGAGTAATGTGGAACTTGAATCTGAACAGATTATTGTTTTTAATGGTTTTACTTCCTCCACCCACTGCACTGCTAATAACACTGCTAACATCTCTCCTGCATATACGGATAAGTCGTTGGTGATTCGTTTTCCTATTTTTATTTGAAATTCCGGTACTATAAAAGCTATTCCTATTTTTTCATTTGTTTTTGATGCATCTGTATATATTTGAATGTACTGGTAATAATTGTTTATATAAGTCTGTACTGTGTGTGAATCTATGATGTATGTCCTGTCCTTTTTCCTTTCCATTAGTGTCATGTCGACTGTTGCTGTTGGTAATATCCAGGGTGGTAAAACTGATAGTGGTAAATGTGGACTTATTTCTAAATGATGTATTTGAACTTCTTCTGTTTTCTTTCTTATGATCCATCCAAAACTTCTTGTTTGTTTTTTCTCTTTCTCCCAGCATGGGATTAGTGTATCGAGTGTTGGATGATCCGGGTTATTGCTTTGTAAGTTTATCCAGTAATTTATTGCTAGTTGTGTTCTTCTTAGATCTAAAGGCATCTCTCCCATTTCTACTTCTAGCGCTGTTGTTGGTGTAGTTTTGAATGCTCCTGTGCAGATTCTTAATGCCTGATGTTGTATTGTATCTAATTTTTCCAGATGAGTTTTTGCTGCTGATCCATAAATGATGCTTCCATAATCAATGTTTGATCTGATTAATCCGGTGTATATTTGTTTTAAAGCTCCTCTATCCGCTCCCCAGTCACTGCCAGCCAAACATCTCATAATGTTTAATATTTTTTTACATTTATCGATAATTTTCTGTATATGTATCTTCCATATTATTTTTTCATCAAACCATACTCCTAAAAACTTTACACTTTTTACTTGTTCTAATTCTTGATTATATAATTTTAATTTTATTTCCTCTCTTATTCTTTTCTGTGTAAACACCATAACTTTTGTTTTTTCTATTGAGAACTTAAATCCCCATTGAAATGCCCATTTTTCTATTTTAATTATCATATCTTGTATTTTTTTAATAACAAATTCTGTATTTCTACCTCTTTTCCATATGGCTCCATCGTCCGCAAATAATGAACATCCCATTTCTTTCTCAATGTCTGTAAATATATCATTTATCATTATGGAAAACAATAACGGACTTAAAATGCTTCCTTGTGGCGTCCCATTTTCTACTGTAAATTTTCTTGATAGTTCTTGCCCAATTCTCACTTCTATTGTTCTGTCTGATAAAAAGTTTTGAACCCAGTTAAACATATTTCCATTGATCCCCATTTGACATAATTTAATTAATAATCCTTCTACCCACATCATATCATATGCCTTCTCTAGATCAAAAAATACAGCGACTACACTTTCTTTGTTGATTTGTGCTTTTCTGACTTCATGCTCTAAGCAAATTGTTGGGTCATTAGTATTCCTCCCCTTTCTAAACCCACTCTGATATTTAGATATATACCCTTTGATATTTAAATAATAAGTTAATCTATTATTAATCATTTTTTCCATTATTTTACACATATTTGACGTTAAAGCAATGGGTCTATAATTTTCTGGGTTTGTATTGTCTTTTCTTGGTTTGGCTATTGGAACTATGATCGCCTCCTTCCAGCTCTCTGGCAGCTCCCCTTCCTCCCAGATTTTATTGTAAAATTCTAATATTGTATCTTTTGATGTTTCACTGAGATGTTCTATCATTGTATACCAAATGTTATCTTTACCAGGTGCTGTATTCTTTGTTTTCCTTAGTGCATAGTTCAGTTCTGTTTTAGTAAACGGTTCATTCAATAAATTATTTGTTTCTTCAGTATTTTGTTGTAAATCTTTGTATTTTAGTTTTGTGGCTTCCTGACCTTTCCTTCCTTCTTCACTCATGTTACTAGAACTATGAATTTTACTAAATATTTCTGCTAATATTTCAGCTTTCTCGTCATCTTTTGTAATAGTTTTGTTACTTATTTTTAATACTGGATATTCATATTCTTTTTTAATACCATTCATTCTTTTAATTATTTTCCAAATTTTTTCAATTTTTGTTTCTTTTCCCACTGTGTTACAGAATTTTCTCCAATATTCTCTCTTTGTGTTCTTAATTATTCTCCTTACCATAGCTTGTTTTCTTTTATAATCAATTAGATTCTGATAAATTGGATTCCTTTTAAGTACTTTAAATGCTTTATTTCTTAACTTTATTATTTCACTACATTCACTTGTCCACCAGGGTACAATTCTCTTGTCCTTCTGTCTTCCTCCTTTCTTTATTGAATTTTCTGCAGCTTCTAGTATTACCTTATTTATATATGTATTTATATTATTTATATCCATTGTCATGTTGACTTTTTCTAGACTAATTTGACTCAAATAGCTAAATTTAACCCAGTCTGCTTTATTAAAATTCCATTTTTTGTTTATTTTTATATTATTGTTATTTATTGTTAGTCCTGCTCTTATTGTAATGGGATAATGATCGCTGCCTATAGTTGTATTTTTATCAATGTCCCACTCACAGACACCAGCCACTGAGTTTGATACAAATGTTAAATCTATAACTGACTCTGCTCCTGTTCTTACATTCAGTCTCGTTCCTCTTCCATCATTAATGCATACTAAATTTTTGTTTTCCATTATTTCTTCGATAATCTGTCCATTTTTATCGTTACATTTACCCCATACTGTGCTATTAGCATTAAAGTCCCCACACCATATTACTCTCCCTTCCAGATGTTCCATCACCTCTTCCATCAACTCCAGTGACAATGTTTTACATGGATTATAAAAATTTAATATTTTACAATTTCCTTCTTTTCCCCAAATTTCTATTACTATATATTCCAATTCTTTACCTTTCCCTATTATTTGATATTGCCTGCCTTGTTTTATAAATATTATACACCCTCCTCCACTTCCTTCTTGTCGATCCCTTCTTATATTATCATATCCTTTAATAATAAAATCTATTGTTGGTTTTAACCACGTCTCCTGTACACAAATAACGTCTGGTTTCTCTTGAAGTTCGTTAATATAACCTTTAAGTTCCTGTCCATTAGCAATTAAACTTCTAGCATTCCATTGTAATATATTCATATATTGTCACCTGGTGTTCCTGGTCTTCCATCAGCTTCCAACCTTTTGTTAATGTTTTCCCAAGATCCCTCTTTGAACCCCAAAAATTTTTCAGCTCCTCTCACAATTATTTTAATTTTCTCTGTTTTATGTTTGGCCTGGTCAGTGCAGTTTATGACATATGCTATGAATAATATTAGGTTTTCAACTGGCATTGTGATGTTTTCCTCTGTTTGCTGTTTACTGGTACTTTGTTGTGGGTTCTGGTTCTCTGTTTGTCCTGTCGCTCTTGTCTTTTGTTCTTTGACACTTTTGACTGCCTCTGCATATGTGGTGTTTTTACTTATTTTCACCTGTTGGATTTCTTTTGCCGTTTTCCTCACTTCACACCCTCCATATGTAACTCTATGTTGTCCTCCACAGTTGCAACACTTCTCCTTTTCTTCTTTACATTCTTCTATCCTATGGTCTTCTCCACACTTTGGACACCTCTGTTTACCTTTGCACGCTGCTGCAATGTGTCCATATCTCTGGCACTTGTAACAGCGGAGTGGTGGTGGGATGTAAGGCCTAACTTGAAAATTTAAATAACCTATTTTTATGTTTGCTGGTAATGTTGTCTCATCAAACTCAATCATAATTGATAAACTTCCTACTCTTTCCCCATTAACAGTTCTTGATAGTCTCTTCAAGTTGTTTACTTGTGCACCAACAATGTTCCTTTTTATTTTATCTAAATCTTCATCCACTGGGATCCCGTAAATAACTCCGCGAACTGTTTTGTTTTCTCCTATTATCTTTTTTTCCATGACCATTCTTTTACAGATGTTCTCGACGTGCAAAGCCTTATTTTTTTGTTCTTCAGTTTTACATGATATTAATAAATTTCCATCTCTTAACACCTTCACCATTTCTACATCCCCAATCTTCCTTTTTATTTCTTTTGATATCAAAATGGGGCTTATGTTACCCTGCCCTTCCTCATTTTTTAGTTTTAATATTATTTTAAATTCATCCCTCACTACTTTTCTTCTTACTACCCTTTCTTCATCAGAGCTGCTCCCTTCCAACTCCCTTTTATTACTCTGGCTGTCATTTGTCCCTTCCTCCATTTTATTTCTTCCGCGTCCTCTCCCTCTACCTACCGGTGTCCACCCCTCAAAATCCATGTCTGCCTCGTCTCCTACCTGTTTTTCCATCCGAACCATTCACATACCAGTTTATGCCAATTTCCGCCTGTTCCAAAGTCCAAAAAATGTCAAATACCGATAATCCGTCAAAAATTGTTTTGAATTCCGCGCCCAACAGCTTCCTCCTTCCTTCACCCCTCCTTCCTTCCAAGGACGAGTCCAATCCGTCTGAGGAGCATCTTCTTCTTAATGGAGTTTTATGGCGGTTGGCAAACAACGGAAGGTGTGCATTACCGCCACCTACTGGTATGGAGTGTGGATCAAAATGGCTTTATGTCTACATGTTTATATTCTCTTTTCTAATTTTGTGTTTCTAAAAAAATGTATAATGATTCGAATACTTTTACTTGTTATTTCCTTTTGTAATATATTTATTATACTAAATGTTTCTTTGATTTTCCCTAATTGTTCTATCATGCGCCTTCTGTGATGTTCATATTTCTGACAGACCAAAATGACATGTTCTATTGTTTCCTCCTGTCCACAGTGTTCACATTGTCCTGTATCATGTTTTTGAATATTGTGTAGTGTATTGTTAAGGCTGGTGTGTCCAAATCTTAATCTGGTTATTAGTCTTTCTTCTCTTCTGTTCCTCCCTCCTCTTCTCATTTCTCCCACTTGTCTCTGAATTCTGTAGTACCATCTTCCTTTGTGCTCTTCTTCCCATTGTTTTTGCCATTTTCCCTTTAGTTTTTGTTTCACTATAGTTCTTACTTCTGATTTGCTGATAGATATTGTGAAGTTGATTTGATCTTTTGTTGCTGCTTTTGCTGCCCTGTCTGCTGCTTCATTTCCTCTGATCCCTATATGTGCTGGTGTCCATAAAAATATCACTGTCAGTCCCATCATTTGTATTCTGAATAAAGTTTGTTGTAATTCTAGTAAAATGTCCGGTCGGCTATCTGAATGACTATTTTGTAAACTGATGAGTGTTGAGCTTGAGTCTGAACAAATGATTGTTTTTAACGGTCTTGTTTCTTCCACCCACTGCACTGCCAATAATACTGCCAACATCTCCCCTGTGTACACGGATACTTCATTTGTGATTCTTTTCCTTACTTCTATGTTGAATTCTGGTATGACATATGACACTCCTACTTTCTCTGATGTTCTTGATGCATCTGTATAAATCTGTATATAGTTATAGTAGTTATTGATATAGTCCTGTACTGTATATGAATTAAAAATAAATCTCCTGTCTTTTTTCTTGTCCATGAGTGTCAAGTCAACTGTTGCATTTGGGAGAATCCAGGGTGGTATTGTTGGTAATGGTACTACTGGGCTGATGTCTAAGTTGTGTATTTGCATTTCTTTTGTTTTCTGGTCTATTATCCATCCAAAGCTTCTTGTCTCTTTCTTCTCTTTCTCCCAGCTTGGTTTTAAAATATCTAATGTTGGGTGTTCCGGGTTATTTCCTTTAAGATTGATCCAGTAGTTTATTGCTAGTTGTTCTCGTCTTATTGCTAACGGCATTTCTCCCATTTCTACTCCAAGTGCTGCTGTTGGGGTGGTTTTGAATGCTCCTGTACATAGTCTTAATGCTTGGTGTTGTATTTTGTCCAGTTTCTCCAAATGTGTTTTTGCTGCTGACCCATAAATTGCACAACCATAATCCATATTTGATCTGATAAGTCCTGTATATATTCGCTTTAATGCAGTCCTATCTGCACCCCATTCATTCCCAGCTAAGCATCTCATAATGTTTAAGACTTTTTTACATTTATCAATAATCTTTTGTATATGTACATTCCATATTATTTTCTCATCAAACCATATACCCAGATATTTTATGCATTTAACTTGTTCTAGTTCTTGATTATATAATTTCAATTTAAACTCTTCTGTTGTTCTTTTCTGTGTAAATACCATTACTTTAGTTTTGTCCACTGAGAATTTGAATCCCCAATCATTTGCCCATTTCTCAATTTTTAATATAGCATCTTGTATTTTTTTCACAGTGAACTTTATATTTTTCCCTCTTTTCCAAATGGTTCCATCATCTGCAAATAACGAACATTCCACCCCCTTCTCAATCACTGAAAACACATCATTTATCATTATGGAAAACAATAATGGACTTATAATACTCCCCTGCGGTGTTCCATTTTCCACAAAATATTTCTTTGAATATTCTTGTTGTATTTTTACTTGTATTGATCTTTTTGTTAAAAAGTTTTGTATCCATCTAAACATTCTTCCGTTAATTCCTAGTTTGTACATTTTAATTAATAAACCTTCAGCCCATAACATATCGTACGCCTTTTCTATGTCAAAGAATACAGCCACCACACTTTCTTTATTTATCTGTGCTCTCCTGATCTCGTGCTCTAACTGTAATGTTGCATCATTGGTGTTTCTCCCTTTTCTAAAACCACTTTGATGTTTAGATATGTATCCCTTACTATTCAAATAATACGTTAGTCTATCATTAATCATTTTTTCCATTATTTTACATATATTTGATGTTAGTGCGATTGGTCTGTAATTTTCCGGCTTTGTATGATCCTTTCCTGGTTTTGCTATTGGTATGATGACTGCTTCTTTCCAGCTTTGTGGTAGCTCCCCCTCTTCCCAGACTTTGTTGTATAGTTCTAAAATTATTTCTTTGGATTTTTCACTAAGGTGGTCTATCATGGTGTACCATATCTGATCTTTTCCAGGTGCTGTTTGTTTTGTTTTCCTGAGTACTCGATTTAGTTCTGCTTTTTGAAAGGGTTCGTTCAATAAATTATCAGTTTCTTCCATATTTTCCATTAAATCTTTGTATTTTAACTTTGTTGTTTCCCTCCCTCTCTTTCCTTCATTACTAATATTATTGGAACTATGAATTTTACTGAATGTTGTTGCTAGTATTTCAGCTTTTTCTTTATTATTTACCATTTCTGTGCCATCTACTTTTAATACTGGATATCCATATTCTTTTTTGATCCCATTCATTCTTTTTATCATTTTCCAGATTTTTTCAATTTTTGTTTCTTTTCCTATAGTATTACAAAAGTTTCTCCAATATTCCCTTTTTGCATTCTTTACTATTTTTCTTACCATTGCTTGTTTTCTTTTATATTCAATGAAGTTCTGATAATTATGATTTGTTTTTAATGTTTTAAATGCTTTATTTCTTGTCTTTATGGCTTTGTTACATTCATTTGTCCACCAAGGTACGATCTTCTTTTCGCTCGTTCTTCCACCTTTTTTTATTGAATGTTCTGTAGCTTCCTGTATAACCTTGCTTATACCAACATTTATACTATTACTATCCATTGAAAGATCTATTTGTTGTAGCTCTTTATCAGTAAGATATTTGAATTTATTCCAGTCTGCTTTATTAAATAGTAACTTTCTATTTCCTTCTACTTTGTTATTTTCTGGTTTTATGCCTATTGAAATTTTGATAGGATAATGATCACTACCCATTACTGTGCTTTTATCAATATCCCACATACAAACACCAGCCAATGAATTTGACACAAATGTAAGATCGATTGCTGATTCTGCTCCTGTTCTAACATTTACTCTTGTTCCCCTCCCATCATTAATACATACAAGGTTTTTATTTTCTATTACTTCTTCCATTATTTGTCCATTTTTATCATTACTTTTCCCCCAAAAAGTACTATGTGCATTAAAGTCCCCACACCACACCACTTTCCCATCCACATATTCTAATACCTCCTCCATCACTTCAAGTGACAGTGCCTTGCATGGGTTATAGAAATTTATGATCTTATACTTTCCTTCATCTCCCCATATTTCTACTATTATGTATTCTAATTCTGTTCCTTTTTTTAATATTTGATATTGAATTCCTTGTTTTATGAATGTTCCACATCCTCCTCCATTTCCTTCCTGTCTATCTCTTCTTATGCAATTATATCCTTTGATGACGAACTCCAAATTTGATTTTAACCATGTCTCTTGTATGCATATGATTTCTGGTTTATTATCAAATCCATCTATATATGCTTTAAATTCTTGCCCATTTGCTAATAAACTTCGTGCGTTCCATTGTAGTATTATCATATGTTTTTGTCATTGAGGTTTCCTGACTTCCCTTCTGTTTCCAGTCTTTTGTTTATATTTTCCCATGACATCTCTTTAAATCCCAAGAATTTTTCAGCGCCTCTCACAATTATTTTAATCTTCTCTGTCTTGTGTTTAACCTGATCAGTACAATTGATAACGTATGCCATAAATAGAATAAGTTTCTCCGTTGACATTGAAATGTTTTCTTCTGGTTGATTATTTTGTTGTGGGGTTTGATTCTTTATTTGAGCTGTTTCTCTTGTTTTTGGTCCTTGCACATTCTTGACTGCTTCAGCATAGCTTATGTTTTTGGTTATCTTAATCTGTTGGATTTGTACGGCCCTCTTCCTCACCTCACATCCGCCATAATTGACTCTGTGCTGTCCCCCACAGTTGCAACACTTTTCTTGAGCTTCTTCCCTACATTCTTCATATCTGTGTTCCTCTCCACACTTGGGACACCTCTGCTTCCCTCTACACACCGCCGCCACATGTCCATAACGCTGGCACTTGTAGCAGCGGAGTGGAGGAGGAATAAAAGGCCTGACTGGAAAGCTCATGTATCCTATTTTGATTTTTTCCGGTAACACATCATCTGCAAACTCTAATAAGACGGACATGCTTGCCACTCTTTCTCCATTGACTGTTTTTAACATTCTTTTTATATTTGTAACCTGTGCTCCTGCAATGCTTCGTTTTATTTTTTCCAAATCCTCATCAGTTGGTATACCTGTAATCACTCCCTTAAAAGTTTTGTTCTCTCCTACCACCATTCTTTCTGTTATTGTCTTTTTGCAAATGTTTTCAATTTTTAATGCTTTATTTTTTTGCTCCTCTGTTTTACAAATTATCATTAGGTTTCCATCTCTCAGTATTTTAGCCATTTCTACCTCTCCAATTTTCTTTTTTATTTCTTTTGATAGAAAAATAGGGCTAATGTTTCCCTGTTCATCCTCTTTGTTGAATCTTAATATTATCTTGACTTCCTCCCTCACCATTTTCCTACGAGTCACTCTATCCTCATCTGAACTATTCGCTTCTAATCCTCTTTTATTTCCTTGGCTTTCAGACACTGCCCTGCCCTCCATCTTGCCTCTGTCACCTTCCTTACCTTTCCCTCTCCCACCTCTGACTGGTGTCCACTCCTCAACATTCATGTCATCCTCTGAATCTCCTACCTGATGCGCCATTTCGATCCATTCACACACCAGTTTATGCCAAACCTCCAAAGGATGTTCTGGTAACGTTTTCTGATTTGTTTGTTGAAAAACGCAGCTCCCTCCTCACACACCTGTTCCTCTGCCGCGCCTCGGAAGCCCTTTCTTAACCTACAAGCCCTTCGTCTGAGGAGCATCAGGTGATGCACCGGCTTTTATTCGCCTCTCCCTGCACAGATAGGACGTGCACGTCAGAGGTGTCACTCTGCTTGGAAAACAGGAACATTCTCAGGTAAGATCACCTGTCCGACACGCCTGAGAACAGCACCCGCGAGTCACAACCGGTCGAAGAGCCACACCTCCCGAAGTCTAATGGTCGCGGTCTGATCCGACCCAGAACCTGAGGTGGATTTTGGGAGGAAGTCTTAGTTCTAACAATCATCCTCAAAGATACGAGGTGTGTTCTAAAGAAGTTAGAGAGAAAAAGATTCTGCTTTCAGATCCGAGTGAGTCATCTTTATATCCGACTATCTTTCATATGCCTTCAGGTGCTGCTGTACACCCCCCCCCCCCCCCCCCCAAAAAAAAACAGCTCCAAATGACTTGTCTGACTGACTGAACACCTCTTTGACTAAAAACCTCTCTGACAAAACACTAGTCTAATTAAACCCCTGACTAATCGAACACCTGTGTGACTGAACACCGGCCTGATTAACCCCCACCTGGTTAAACACCTGTCTGAACACCTGTCTGACTGAGCACCTGTCTAATTAAACACCTGTCTGACTGAACAGCTGTTTGACCAACACCTGTCTAATTAAACACCTGTCTGAACACCTGTCTGACTGAGCACCTGTCTGACTGAGCACCTGTCTAATTAAACCTGATTAAACACCT